AGGGCCACAAGGATGATCAGGGACTGGAGCACCTCCCGTATGAAGACAGGCTGAGAAAGTTGGGGCTGTGCAGCCTGGAGAAGAGAAGCTGCGTGGAGACCTCAGAGCAGCCTTCCAGTATCTGAAGGGGGGCTATAGGGATGCTGGGGAGGGACTCTTCATTAGGGACTGTAGTGACAGGACAAGGGGTAACGGGTTCAAACTTAAACAGGGGAAGTTTAGATTGGATATAAGGAGGAAATTCTTTCCTGTTAGGGTGGTGAGGCACTGGAATGGGTTGCCCAGGGAGGTTGTGAATGCTCCATCCCTGGCAGTGTTCAAGGCCAGGCTGGACAAGGCCTTGGGTGATACGGTTTAGCGTGAGGTGTCCCTGCCCATGGCATGGGGGTTTGGAACTGGGTGATCTTAAGGTCCTTTCCAACCCTAACTATTCTATGATTCTGTGATTCTACTTAGCTATCTCACTAGGTAAAAGCCTTCCTTAATGATACATTTGAATTCTTGATGATGTATTTGAATCATTTTTGAATTCTAGCAAATTGTAAGGAAAGGCACTACATATCACTAGGGTCATGCTACGAGTCATGGGAGATCAAGGTGATGGGAGATGATTTTCTCCAGTTCTAAAGAAAAACCCCAACCTGGACACCTCCCCCAAGTGACAGATTCTCTTAGGAGGGATTAGACTTCAGAAAGGGCTGAACTTTGCTACAAAGATAGCCCTGAATTAATCTCCTTCTATGTGTTCTCTCCAGGACACAGTGACTGTAATTGACAAGAAACTCAGGGATGCATGGCAGGACATGAAAGTTAGACAAATCTAGTTGCAAGCATTTAACAGCAAAGGTAATTAAGGGTGTGGGACCTGCAATCTTTAATCAAAGTTGTTTCTTTTTGTGTGTGTGCATTTAAAGAGGCTTCTAAAATAGTGTGCTAGGGCTTAAAGAAACCGGTGGATATTGTATGGGGATTAATGGGTGAGGTCCTTTGGGCTGCGTAAGAGAGGGCATCAGAGGAGACGGTGCCTGCTGGCCCTGAGCTCAGCAAGTCTGCTCCTGCTCACCTTGGGAAACATCCACATGCAGACATCACCTTGGAAATCCCAGATGAATTATTTGGGTTGCTTGGATGCAAAGAGAAGAGTTAAACCTTGTGGCATCCCTGGCTGTGACGAGGCTATGACCACCCCGTGAGGTCACCATCCAACCAAGGGCACCAGGGAGGAAATGCATGAAGGAAAATATCTGTAGAAACAACGAGTTTTGTTTTTTAATAGATTTGAGTTTGTGTGAGTTAAAACAGGCTCTTTGCAAAGGATTCATCCATCAACCAGATCTCAGGCACTGGTAGCACCAACATCTCTGCAAGCCTAAAGATCAGGTAACATATCTGATAGCCCCAAGTAGCTAAGATACTTCCAACATACATAAGGTTTCTGTTTCCCATCTTCAGCCTGAAACTATTGTTCATTCATGCTTTTGCTTTCTTCTGCCTGACTCCCATGGAGTCACAGGGTTTGGAAGAGGTGTTGATAAGCCATATCTATGTAAAATAGAATATGCTCTTCTCCATAAGAGTGTATCTTCCCCTAATATATGGGAATATATTAATTCCCCATAATAATGGGAATATGTAATTTCTAATAATATATGGGAATTGCAGGGGGATATCTCAGAGCAGCAAAGTGTCACTGGGGGCCCAATACCTTTACCAAGGACCAGACTGGGGAGGTCCTTTGTGTCTCACTGGACTCATTAACTCAAGCACGTCCTGCGTACCCACAGCCCCATCCTTCGCCATCCCCTTCCAACATCTTCAACATCACAACCCATTGGAGCCAGGAGTAGGGAAGTGATTGCCTCTCCTGCCCCAGCAGCACCACATCTCACACCGCATCCAGCAGCAGCTCCAGCTTTGAACCTGGTGCAGACAAAGCAGGAACCAGCCTTTGAAACTGCTGCCTTGGGCTCCTGGGTTGCAGTTCATGGCAGGTGAAATGTGGCAGCAAAGTTTACATAAACATAGTCAACCAGAGCTAGATTTCTGCCTCTGAGACATCGACTGTGGCAGCTGATGTTTTGTTGGTTTCTCTAGGCTTTGTGCAGAAGTAGGTCACATGAGGAACAAATTATAGGAGTACCTGTGACCATGAAAGGAATAGGTTCTCACTACCATCACCCTGATCAACAGTAAAACTATTTCCAGCCCTTTTCCCACATCGTTGTGGCAAACCCTGGACCAATCTGACTTGGGTACTAAACAAGCACTGAGAAAAAAGGAGTTGTTGTTGTTCCTCCGCAGTTCTAGTGCACATCTTGTCCCAGCTTTGGACGTTTATGGCTCATGAGATGGGGATGTTTGCTGACATTGTTCATCTTCTCACCTGAGAACACCCAGGTAGAAACACAATTCCTGGTGTGTTCACCTGGACATTCAGAAAACTGACTTGGAGCCATAGTTCTATATGAATGCTGCTGAAACACACAATTTCATAGAATCCCAGACTAGTTTGGGTTGGAAGGGACCTTAAAGCTCATCCAGCTCCAAACCCTGCCACAGGCAGGGACACCTTCCACTAGAGCAGCTTGCTCCAAGCCCCTGTGTCCAACCTGGCCTTGAACACTGCCAGGGATGGGGCAGCCACAGCTTCTCTGGGCGCCCTGTGCCAGCGCCTCAGCACCCTCACAGCAAAGAGCTTCTGCCTAAGAGCTCATCTCAGTCTCCTCTCTGGCAGGTTAAAGCCATTCCCCTTGGCCTGTCCCTACAGGCCCTTGTCCCAAGCCCCTCTCCAGGGTTTCCTGCAGCCCCTTCAGGCACTGGAGCTGCTCTCAGGTCTCCCCTTCAGGAGCCTTCTCTTCTCCAGGCTGGCCCAGCCCAGCTCTCTCAGCCTGGCTCCAGAGCAGAGCTGCTCCAGCCCTCACAGCATCCCCATGGCCTCCTCTGGCCTCGCTCCAACAGCTCCACGTCCCTCTTGTGCTGCTGCCCCAGAGCTGGATCAGGACTGCCGGGGGAGGTCTCCCCAGAGTGCAGCAGAGGAGAATCACCACCATTTATCTTAGACCATTACATCATATCTCTTAGAGACCCTCACCCTCAGCATCCATAGCTATGCCATAACATGGAATACCACATCACTGCCTGATACCCTTTTCTCACACAGATGTTGTTGCCATCACTCCCATCTTCTGTCTGGTTGAAGTCATCAGCAGTGGTGACATGTGGAGTTGACATGAGGACATTTTTATTTCACATTTGGGAGAGCAGGGAGAGAAATTACAGTTTGGAGGGGAAAAAAAAGGTTTCTTCTGTATTTAAACCTTTTTGGTAGACCCCCCTTTACTGAGTTGCTCTTTGGTTCAGCACATTCCCAAATATTCCTCTGTCTGCAGAATTGCTGTGCCAGTGTGAGTCTTGGGACGCTGGTTTCTATCCCGGATGGCATCAGCATCACAAATAGAAATTTTAGAAATAGAAATATAAAATAGAAATTACTTAATTGCCCAAACATTGCTGGCTTATGCCAGCTGAGACACCCTCAGTCATCTGTATGGGCACATGGGTGACACAGGACCTCCAGCAGCCATCCAGTAGAGCATCTCTGGTGGAGCTGGATACTTGCATCCTTGCAGTTCAACCAGCTCCAAAATACCTCAGTTTGTAAACCAAATCAGATAGTACAGGCCCAAAACAGCAACACCATTAACTGAGGAAACATTGGGAAGTCCTACTTGGCCTGCACTGAGGTGTGTGCTTTCTGTCTCCACCCTTATCTATTGCAGCCCCCCTGGTTTTCCTCCTACCTCTACTGCTCTTCCTTCCTGCATGCAGCAAAGGAGGGAGCAAAGATGTCTCAGTGCTGAAGGTCCCAGCTCCATCCCTGCACAGCACAGCTTTGGGCAGGGCAATAAACCCTCCTTAGGAAATGCCACAGCTCTAATTTAGGTGTCTTAAATCCACTCAGGGGTTGGTGGACAGGAGCTATCTCCTCCTTTGGTAGGAACAAGCCTCTCCCTGTGGAGATCCTGGAGACAGTGAGACGCCTGTGAAGCTCCTCTGTTGTTTGCTCCCTGCCCCTTTGACCTTGTTAGGCTTTAGGATTTGAGACACACTAAGTCAGCTGAATCCTTTCACATCCCAAATGCCAGGACCCCCTGACTATGTTAACAGCAGCACTATTGCACATTTGTTTCCAAATGCTTTACAGTCAGATCAAGGCCAAAGCCCTGGGTTTGTTGTTTACCTGTAAGTTAGGGGAATAGAAAATCAGGGAAGGGAAATAGAAAGAAACAAGGAGCATGACCAGCAGGTCGAAGGAGGTGATCCTGCCCTTCTACTCTGCTCTTGTGAGACCTCACTTGGAGCATTGTGCGCGGTTCTTGTGTCCCCAACATAAAAAGGACAAGGAACTGTTGGAACAAGTCCAGAGGAGGCCACGAGGATGATCAGGGGACTGGAGCACCTCCCATATGAAGACAGGCTGAGAGAGTTGGGGCTGTTCAGCCTGGAGAAGAGAAGGCTGCGTGGAGACCTCAGAGCAGCCTTCCAGTATCTGAAGGGGGCCTATAGGGATGCTGGGGAGGGACTCTTCATTAGGGACTGTAGTGACAGGACAAGGGGTAACGGGTTAAAACTTAAACATGGGAAGTTTAGGTTGAATATCAGGAAGAAGTTCTTTACTGTGAGGGTGGTGAGGCACTGGAATGGGTTGCCCAAGAAAGTTGTGAATGCTCCATCCCTGGCAGTGTTCAAGGCCAGGTTGGTCAGAGCCTTGGGTGACATGGTTTAGTGTCCCTGAGCATGGCAGGGGGGTGATGATCTTAAGGTCCTTTCCAACCCAAACTATTCTATGATTCTATGATTCTAATATTCAGTTCTTAACAGTGAGTACTTGAGAGCGGGGAAAAACATTCTTATTTGGAATTAGAAGTCCATGCTTCTCTGTGAGTCGGTCCTTGAATAGAAATGGGATAAAAAATGCAATTAAATGTAGAATTAATATATCTATATATGAAATAATTCTTAATGGATATGCTAGATATAAGCAAACTCATATCTTCATGAGAGGTTGCCATTGACTACTGCGCTGAATTGAACGCTCTCTTCTTTGAATGATCTTGAATGATCACGTACCTCGGGAGTTCAGAACAAGCAGATCTCATGCTCGTCCCTCTCAGTCTTGAATTGAAAACTAATGTCATGCTTCCCTGCCTTTTCAGCTCTCAAATTGCTTCCTGCTGACTGCAGGAACATGTTCTCTCTGTCGGCTAAAGAAGCCACTGCTGTCAGGCCTGGGTGCTTCAAACCCTGGGGCTGAGCCAACTCAGGTCCATCCTTATGCACCAGTGTCTGCAGCAAACAAACTCTGCTGTCACAACAGACCCAATTAAAGCCTGACAAATTACATTAAGCTAAATACTCAGCTCCCATTGAAATAGCTTTGTTTTAGGAATGATCCCTGCATGCTTCTTAAACCAAAACATCTCCTATTTAACACTCAACACACCTGTATTTAGAGTGTTCTTTTGCCATCCCAGTTCAGAATGTTATCCTGAAATCAGGGCGCTGTTTGCTTCATCTGCATATAACAGTTAAACCCATGGGGTTGCACCTGTCCCATGTTTGCAGCACGGAACCAACAGTGTGTCCCCATCTCCACCCATCCCTTCTTCCTTGCACCATTTGGTTCCCCCTCTGGAGACCAACACTTCCCTCTTGGCTTCCCCAGTGCGCATCATTTTACAAGGGCCAGTAGGAGCAGGAGAGGGGCAATGGCTTTAACCTGCCTGAGGGGAGACTGAGATGAGCTCTTAGGCAGAAGCTCTTTGCTGTGAGGGTGCTGAGGCGCTGGCACAGGGTGCCCAGAGAAGCTGTGGCTGCCCCATCCCTGGCAGTGTTCAAGGCCAGGTTGGACACAGGGGCTTGGAGCAAGCTGCTCTAGTGGAAGGTGTCCCTGCCTGTGGTAGGGGTTGGAGCTGGATGAGCTTTAAGGTCCCTTCCAACGCAAACCATTCTGTGAGTCTATGATTCTATGAAAGACCAGAAAAGCAGCTGTTGTATTGGTGTACTTGGTATTTGTACCCTCTGAGCAGGGCCTTTGGGTACCTTGATGCGCACATGCAGCCGGGCACCTCATGGGCATCACCAGGTCTTCAGCACCACACCACAAACCCATCTCTGTGCCCTGCACCAGTTGTTCCACCTCCAGTCTTTACAAATAGTTGGAAATGGGCGTGCCTCTGGTGCTTCTGCAGCCTGGGGCACCTCCACCTCCCTGCTTCTGCGTCCAAGCAGCCCCTTCCCATCCTAATGCTCCCCATCCTGGTGCTCCTGCACCTCTGTTATCACCCTCTCCTGTTCCTGCATCCCAGTGTGCTTGCATCCCAGTACCTTCACCCATCCTGGTGCTCACCCATTCTGGTACCCACCCCATCGTGGTGCTCCCCATCCCAGTATAATCCCCTTCTCCCCATCTGAGTCTTCCTGTATCCCAGTGCTCCTCAGCCTGGCACCTCCACCCAGGCACCTCAATCCCAGTATCCCTCCTGTCCTGATACCCCTCCCATCCTTGTGTTCCCCAACCCAGTACCCTATCCTGGTACCCCTCCTATCCCGGTGTTTCCCATCCCAGTACCCCTCCCATCCTATACAACATCCCACCTCCCTGATCCTGATATCCCATATCCTGGCATTCCCCATCCCAGTACCTCTGGCATTCCCCATCCCGGTACCTCTCCCATTCTTGTACCCCTACCTTCCCCCTCGATCCCCATATCCAAAATCTCGGTGCTCCTCAGCCCAGCATGTCCATCCCAGTACCTCCATCGTGGTATATCTCCATCCTGGTACCCCCATCCGGTACTCATCCTATCCCAGTGCTGCCCATCTTGGTACCCCTCCTATCCTGACACAACATCCCCACCTCCCCTGATCCCGTTACCTTACATCCGGTGTTCTCCATCCCAGTACCCTTCCTATTCTTGTACCCTCTCCTTCCCCCTCGATCCCGATATGTCCTTTATCCCGGTATCCCACTTCCCTATACCCCACATCCCGATATCCCACCGTTCCCTCCATCCCGGTGTCTCCCAGCTCCCCGGTACCGGTGGGCGGTGACGCTGCGGCTCCCCCTGGTGGCGGCGGCTGCGCACTGCCGAGACCCTCCCTCCCCACCCCGCCCGCCCCAGCGTGACCCCGGCAGTGACACAGGGGACACGGCACCTCATGGGTACCCCCCTCGGTACCCACCGCGTTATCCGGGTGCCCGCGGGCCCTGAGGCTCAGCCGCGCTCCTGCAGTCAAACTGTGGCATCTTGGAGCTGTTTGTGTTGGAAGGGACCTCAAAGCTCCTCCAGCTCCAACCCCTGCCACAGGCAGGGACCCCTTCCACTAGAGCAGCTTGCTCCAAGCCCCTGTGTCCAACCTGGCCTTGAGCACTGCCAGGGATGGGGCAGCCACAGCTTCTCTGGGTACCCTGTGCCAGCGCCTCAGCACCCTCACAGGGAAGAGCTTCTGCCTAAGAGCTCATCTCAGTCTCCCCTCGGGCAGGTTAAAGCCATTCCCCTTGGCCTGTCCCTACAGGCCCTTGTCCCAAGCCCCTCTCCAGCTTTCCTGCAGCCCCTTCAGGCACTGGAGCTGCTCTCAGGTCTCCCCTTCAGGAGCCTTCTCTTCTCCAGGCTGCCCCAGCCCAGCTCTCTCAGCCTGGCTCCAGAGCAGAGCTGCTCCAGCCCTCGCAGCATCTCCGTGGCCTCCTCTGGCCTTGCTTCAACAGCTCCACGTCCCTCTTGTGCTGGTGGCTCCAGAGCTGCACACAAGACCCCAACCCACCATGCAGGGTCATCATTATGAGATCCCTCCAAGCGTAACCATCATCAGACCCACTCCAGATCTGGTGCTGGCCTAGCCAGAGCAGGCTGCGGAGCTCTGCCCCTGCCATGGGGACAGGTATCACCTCCTACACCCAGCCCTTTAGGATGGAGACTGCTGGGGAAATGCTGTTAGGAACAGCACAAGCAGTGACCTGACTTCCAGCAGCCAGGGGTTAAAGGTGTGAATTGGACGCAGCTCCCAACTTAATTTCTTCTAACAGCCCCTTCCTTTGGGAATGCTGCTTAGGGACTTCCTGGAGCCAGAGTTAGAGATGAAAAGGCAGTGACAGCCTTTTCAGTGGCAAGTCCCGTAGCTGCATCTCTGCAAAAAGACACTTTAAAGTTTGTTTTAACTTGCTCCTTGACCCCCTCTGGATGCTGTCTTGTTCTTCCTCTAGAAGTAATGAGTTTTCTGTCCTCCAGAGGCCATCCCAACACCTCCATGTGACTGTATCTTCTCTGCTCTCAGATTTAAGACTTCACGGCCATAGCCTGGGGACCTCTTCCATTCCCTGAGCATCATCTGCACTGGGAAAAGTGCTGTGAGAGGTAATTGCGGCTGCAGCTTACTTCACAATATGACAATTTTAAAGTACAGCACTCTGCCAGCAAGCTAAGAACTGGTTTCAGACATGGAGGTCTGCTGGGACACCAGGATGTTCTTCCATGAACAGGAGAAAGTCCCGGGCTGTGTCTATGCCCTTCTGGAGCAGCTGGTTGTGTCCCAGTGACACAGCTCTGTACTGGGAAGGATCTGGACCAGGACATCCCTCCTGGATTCCTGTGCATCCATCCAGCAACACAACAGCATGAGGGCCTTTGATTTTAAGATCAGGACCTTGCCTCCGCCCACAATGGATGAAGCCTGCTCAGCACTGGGTGGAGGTCTGGGTGGTGAACAGGCTGCTCTGCTTGGCCCAGATGCCCTCTCGATGGCCACAGTGCCACACAGAGGGTAACTTTTGGTGTCACTGAAGTGAACTGAGCCCACTGCTATCTTCCAGATGCATCTAAGCCAGGGCTCTGGGATCAGCTTTAAGCCCTTGGGCTCTTTCCTACACTCTCCACCACTGGGAGAAGAGCCCTTCCAGGCTGTTTTTACTCCTGTTATCACCTGAGGGACACCCCACATGCATGATACCCACAGCCATGTGCCCACCATGTCCCTGCACATGGCCCAGGAGGGACCGATGTTTGCAAAGGTCAACCTTGCCCTTGGCTACCTGTTCAGAGGCAAGAGATCTGGATCCTGCTCCCAACCCTGACACCTCAGCAAGGTGAGTGTAACTCCCCCCCTAGTGCTTCCCCACCTCTCCCAAGAGGCATGGAGAGGGGAAGGAAATGGGGTTGGGGAAAATCCAGCTTTCCTGAGCTCCCAAGGAATGGGAGTTAAATTAGAGAGTAGCTTGGGGACCAAACGTAATGAGAGGGATGGGTTACACAGCAGGGTAAGCTGGAGGCCAGATGAATGGGGGTGGAAGGAACTGTTTCTCATGGCACCTCACTGGAACACCATGATGGTAGCCTGGCCAGGGGCAGACTGGGGTTTATTTTGGTTAGTTTTGATTTCTCATCTGTTTTACCAAAGAATTAGTTTGGGGGTCACACAATAGTGTTAAACCCAGCTAACAGTATCAGTGCTGCACCACCCAGAGCCTTTCAACACTAGCTTTCTGCCATTTAAGTCAGATTATAGGTATCGCCATAAACTGTGTAGATACAACTTATATCTCTACTGATAGCAGTGAATCAGGGTAAAGAAAAGCTCATTTCCGTGCTTCCCTCTATCAGCTGTAGGAACAGAGCAGTCAGGATCACACCCTGTGTCCAGGCACTGAAACCCCAAAGCCTGGTCCCTTCATTAGCACTTTGCTGAAGGTGCCCACATCCATAAGGACCTCCTGGCCCTGCAGAGAGGACGGGAGGGCTCCCATCCTTCACAGGCGTGCTCCACAGACAGGATTCAGTCTCCCCTCTGGACCCTGCAAGAATGCTGGGGTCTTCCCTAACTGCTCCCCAGGGAAAGCTGCAGTGTCCTCCGGGCTGTGATTGTGCCAGTGGCCACACAGGGGTGCCAGAGACTGCCTGTCTGCAGCCATCGCGCACAGAACATCCTCTGCCAGCACCAGTCCATCACACGCAGAACATCCACTGCCAGCACCAAACCATCTCACACAGCACCCTCTGCCAGCACCAAGCCATCGCGCACAACATCCTCTGCCAGCACCAAACCATCACACACAGAACATCCTTTGCCAGCACCAAACCATCACATACAGAACATCCTCTGCCAGAACCAAACCATCGCACATGGCACCCTCTGCCATTACCAATCCATCACACACAGAACATCCTCTGCCAGCACCAAACCATCACACACAGCACCTCCCTGCTGCTCCAGCAGAATAGGGATGTCAGGGACATGGTCCAGCATCTTGGATGCTGCAGAGCCTTAAGATGCTGCAAGCTCTGACAGCTGAGCATGGAATGCTGCTCAAAACACCAGAGATACGGTCCGCTGAGAGTGTCACCTACTGTTTTCAGTGCAGAGCAGGATGGGGAGTACTGAGCAAGGGCCCATTGTAGTTTCAAGTCAGCCCTTCAATAACCCAGGAACAAGGAAAGAATTATGCTGAATGGTTTTTACCCATGTTTTGTCCCTTTGGAGTAACATTTTCCTGTTGGTTACCAGAAGGTAGTGAGTATTTGCAGGTAAAATCGTAGAATCATTGAGGTTAGAAAATACCTTCAAGATCACCAAGTCCAACAGTTCCCCAGCACTGCCAAGGCCACCACTAATCCATGGCACTGCAGGCCTCGTCTACACAGAATGTGAACATGTGAGTCATGTGGGGCTTGGACACATCATAAGGAGTGACCCATAGTTTTGAGGAAATTCTCAGCCCCAAACGTGGTCTTCAGGGAGACTCAAGGAAGAACAGAACATTTTCTTTGGGCCTTCCCTAAGGAGTTACAAATCTCTCCCATCAAGTCCTATGAAAGAAGGATTAAGCATTCCCTGGGATAAAGTGGGTTATAAAGTGTGCATTATAAACATAGGCTGGAGATGCCCTAGGTCTGATCATGGTGCAGCTGAGAGTTGCTGCAGTATTCAGTAGACTCATGCGTTCTGCATCCAGGCAGATGCTCTTTCTTTATTCAGAGAACTTGCTGGATGCTGCCTGGGCCCTGATCATTTGTCCTCCTGTCTGCCTCCTTTCCCCCCGACTGCTGCAGAGGAAGAAAACGTTTCCTGGACTGCAATTATTAAAATACATCCATTTTAATGAGCATTTACGATGCCCGGTTGCTGCTGCAGTGATCGTGTAGCTGGCCAAAGGTGTGTTTGAGCAGAGGCATTGCGTAAGGCACCTCTCAAAGGCAAAAGGAAGAGCAGAGTCAGGTAGAGCAGCTCAGGATAGGGGAGAACAGCTGTAACAGCTGGATGAGCAAGGAGGCTCGCTGGGAGGCAAAGACAGGGGTGTTTTTGTAAGCTAAATACTCATCCACAAATCACAGAACTCCTGCCAGTTTCTTGACCTCTTGTGTTAATGAGAAGGCAGGATCTGTGGGCAATTAAATCAACAGTCAGACTGAAGCGCTGCCAAATTTACCATAAATCACATAACAACGTTACTTAGGGCCCTGCTCCAGGGGTTAGAGCATCTCCTCTCCTCTGCCTGTAGGAACACCCCACCACAACCCAGAGAACAGTTAAGTTTCTGGCCTTCCGAAAAGGCTGGGGAGAAGAAGAGCAGAGAAACTTGGAAAATATGAACCAAGCTTAACCTCAAGCAAACCCAGAGAGGAAAGGAGACTTGGAAGAGTCAAGGAGGGGGCTGAGTCATGGTGTTTGAATGCCTGGGGTCAGCGGCGCTGCCTGTTCCAGACCAACTCATGAAATCCTGGAAGTTTTGCAAGACACTGTTGGATGGTTTCTAGACCAAAGCTATGCTCCGGTTTGGAGAGTCCAACCAGCCCGGTTCCAACTGTAACGTCAACTTTTCAACCTCTGTCCAGGAATCCATGGAAGAATAACTGAATAGGACAACTGAGGGCTGACATCCCTGCCATTACTCCTCCAGACAGGGAGACCCAGAACGTCATGCTGGAGTATGGGTTTGGCACCGATTGTGAGCACAGTAGTGGTTTCAAAGGCCACATGGTCATTTCAGACACAGTCTGACTTCGGGACGAATCCATATGAAGTTTGTGCCCTCTCCCCAGCACTTGTGGCACATTAATAACGACTAATTTCTTCATATGATGGAGGAAAGCCTGTGGGT